ACATTCTGCTATCTTGCCACGGTAACTCGGATAGCTAGGCATCATCTAGCACAGCGCAATCCCTTATCTAAATTATAACCGTATTAATTAATATTGATTGAAAATAATTAATTGGGTTATTCGTTTTTCAATTCAATTGTTACCTTCGGACTATCTTAATAAGTATCAATATGTATAAACGAGGAAAAAATCAGGCGCGTTGTGTCCTTAGGTTTTTAATATATACGTTTCAACTATTATACAATAATGACTCTAAACATTCATAACAATGTGCGACTGGATAAAATGTGGACTGATCACGTGTGCGTTTTTATATATTCCAAAAGGTGCAGGAGTTTCGGCTAAATATAGAATAATGTTCATGTGTACCGATATGCACAATGCAACTTTAATAACTAAAATAAAGAGTTCAAACCCGATCACTCTGCGGGATTGAAGGACATTTCCAAGGTTTTGAATTGCCCCAACCAATCAAAAGACTTTATCTATGATAGAGTCAGTAATATCTTCCAATCAGGTAGTAAGAAAACATTCAGTCCTGTGCATCGTTCAACTTATAAGACCTTCTCAGAGGAAACGATAATAAATACAAATGACACATATCGTCAAATGGTGAATATGTCTTAAGTTATATAAATACTAATGCCGTTTTATTTTATACTTTTGTGTGTTCTTATGTTGTTTTTTTTTTTTATCTTTTTATGAATTAATTATTTGTTTTCCTTTTTTATGTTTTTTTTTTTCGGCTGATTTAATGACAAGTTTCCCAATTTCCTTCCTTTTATCTTTCTTGTACATAAAGCCTGTGATTTAATCGACTTTCATCTCTTATCCAAATATCACTTGAAGACAAGCCTTTAATCATATTAACACTGAAAAGTAAAGATCTTGAAAGTCATCAAATTATTACGCAATTGCATAATTTTAAAGATTTCACTAACAAGTGTATAACCTGCACTTTTATATCTGTCATTGTTGGTTAAGCAGACTGAGGTAACTACCGACAGCGATAAGCCTTACAAGACAGGCTAATGATATCAATAAACTGTTGTTGTCATCTACTATCCTATACGAATTAATTTGTCAGCAGAAAGTTAAACAAAACCCTGGTGCCACTGTCTTTATGTACTTTTCTATAATTAACTGATGTAAACAGATAAATATTAAGCCAAGGAGCTTAAAATCTGACATTCGAGTCATCGACTTTAAGATGGCAAACATTGTTTTGTTATGGATGTCAAGAACTTGTTATTGCTGCAGACTGATTTAAATGAAAAGTAATCTGCATAATGGATAAAACTGTTAACAAAGGATAACAAATTGTAACCACTTGAATTTCTTTTCCACTTTAGATGATAAACACGTACCCGTCATCTGGCGGGTGTTTTCTAGTTGAAAGCAGTTGGGCATAGATATATTGTCAGCTTTTGTTTTTCAAAGTTCAGTTAACTCAATGCAGAGTATTCGACAATTCATATGGTACGGATGTATAAATACACAGCTACGTCCGATTAAAATGCTGGACGTGAGGCAGTCATCCTTTATATACACATGTAAGAAGTTTGATGCAATGATCGCAATTGCTCCTGGATATTCTTATTGGTGAACAACACTCCTCCTTATTAAACGTGGCATCCATTTTCGGTGGCAGTCCACGTTTCCTGTCCTTCATCTCAGTCCACAAACTTTCAAAATATTTAGTTTATTCTTTTTTGTGCAAATTTGCATTAAGTATTTAGCACTGGACGTTACCCAAACAATTAATCAATCTAGTTGAGATTTAATCCTGAACTTCTCCGGATAAACGATAACGTTTCACTAAAAGAAATGAAAAAAAGATGACGTTTATTCCACCAGATGTCATTAAATGCAGTTAGGTGATCTGATATTTATAAAGGATAGACCGCTATCAGTACCGGGTGTGGACAACGCATTATGATTAGTGCCCTCTGGACGTATATTCTAGTTTTTCTATGAACCAAACATCCCTCTTTATGCTTTCCTATAACATTTCAAGCACCAGGTTTTTAGAATGAAAAGCCAATGTCAACGCAAAATAATATATGACATATAAAAAAAAATTGCATGCAAGAAGGAAACAAAATTAAAAAGTGCGATGTCTACCAAGACATGTGATCTTACGAATAATTGAAATAACATTCTCTGAAATAGATGTATTAAGACAGACTCGTCTAATAGTTTAGTCATTGAATGGTTTGGTTATTTGTCCATAGTTAACATTAAGAAAATTTATAAATATCTAAAAATCAGTTGTTGTTTTTTTTTTCAAGATCGACATGTAGTTTACATTTAACTTTGTAGACCAGGTACATGTATACATTACATAATATTCGTATGTTTTATACAACTCTAGAAAGTAAATGCAGTAATAATACAGATGTAATAGGTTTCCACTGTGAGATAATGATTTCCATAGTACAAACAATATCTTGCTAAATTGGAAACAATATCCATTACTTCAGCAATAGAATTTGTTAGGATGCCATAATCATGATAATTTTCTAATTTCTATGCATTTCTTATATTTATATTCAACTTGTTTTTTTGTTTGTTGTTGCAGTAGATAGAAATGGCACTTCCCCACGCATGTTTCAATTGAAATGCAATAACGACTTGGATGAATTGTGCTTCGCACTGGAGGATTAAAATACAAGATTTACTTTTCATGAAAATTACGTTTTTTAGTTCTTCAAGAATTTATCAGATCAGTCTTCCGTTCTATTGTGTTAAAGGAAATAGAAGATATATATTTTTATTTAATTTTATTGTAATATGATAAGCTATTCTTTTTTCTATTTTTAGAAGGCAAGAGAATATATTGTTGTTATTGATAAAACTAAGTGCATAAAAACCCCATACACAACTGTATTGATAGGGGATGTTTCAAACTATATTTTTTACCGGTTGCAATTTTTTACGTTCAAGGGGTCTCAGTGGCCGAGTGGTCTAAGTAGTTCATCTACTGTATCACTAGCCTGTCAACACTGGTTGTGATTTCGAACACTGCATGTGGCAGGTGCGTTCGACTCCAATCTTAAATGACTAGGATTGGCAGTATTCCTGTCGAAGATCGATGGGTCTCTCTGGTTAACCCGGCTTCCTCCAATTAACACTGACTGTCACGATATACCAAAAAGTGCTGTAAATGGCGATAAACACCAACAATCAACCGATCAATCTTTACGTCCAGTGGCAAGTTTTTCATGCACATGTAGGCCGATTTATATTTTAATTTCAATGCAAAAGTGAAGAGGTGCATTCGCATTGTTTACTGTATATAATACAGTTATAAGATTAATCCAATATCGATAATAAATAAAGTTTAGATAAAACTTGAGATCGAACCTAAACAATATGAAATAAAGAAATATGGTTTGATTATTCCAAAGAGACAACAATCCAACCGAGTCCAAATAATGCGGATTTAGCAATTAAAGGTCATTGTACGGTAAATCTCGTACCGTATAGTCAGCTATAAAAGGCCCCGACATGCCAAAATGTGAAACAATTCAATAAAAAAAACGACGATCATATTTATGACAAAGCTATAAATGACAAACAAATATAACAGACTACAACCAACGACAACCACTAAATTACAAGCTTATCGTTGGTTTTCCTGTTTGAATTGTTTTTACACTAGTCATTTTGGGGTCCTTTATAGCTTGCTGTTCGGTGAGAGCCAAGGCTCGAAGCGTGTTGAAGGCCGTACTTTGACCTATAGTTGTTTACTTTTCACACATTGTGACTTGGATTGAGAGTTGTATCATTGGCACTCATACCACATCTTCTTATTTATATTATGACTTGGGACAGGCATATAAAAATGTGACCAAGATAAAAATGTTTGTGTTCGCTCAACCCTCCCACTAAACAAGTTAACAATTATAATAGTAAGTACACAAAACACAAACGGCCACGTGCACACAAATAATATTCCTTTTGATTTTTTCTCCTATGTCACTGATTGATATATTTAATAATTGTTGCTTCTAGGACATTAAGAACATTTAAAAAAAATCACAATTCATGCTTCTATCAAATTAAGAACCTTTAAAAATTTAATTTCACCCTTATTGCATACTCTGTTATTTATAAATGAATTAAGCAGGGAAAATACATATGTATTCGTGCGAGATTTATCACGTTGTGAACATAATGACATTATAACGTGGTAATAATTTAATAATTCTTAAGAACATTTTTAACTTGATCAATATATAAAATTACCATGTAACAAGAAGAATGTTGTCATTTATGAAAATAAACAGGTTTAATTTTAAAATAAGTAAATGTAGCAATGCTGTTTTACAATAATGTAAGTTACGATACATTCTCAAAAACTTGTCGCAAATATATTTTAGATGTTTAACGTGAGAACTGATGAGTATTCAAAGAACTGCAACATAGTCTCATCATATTTGAAAGTATACTGATGTAGTGCACCATATACAGTGACTGATCAAACCCCATTTGATCGCAAAATAAAATTAAAATCTCATGATTTCCACGATATATTTAAATTTCAAGTATAAAATTTTCGCATATCTTCGCTCGGTTATATAACTTCAATTATCCGGAAATATACTTCAAAAATCCTGGATCTGGCCTTGATATAAGCCTTAATTCACCTTATCTGAAATTAAATTTTTGATATAAAAAGGTGCCAAGGGACAATCTTACGTCAAGTTATAAAACGACATACAACAATATAGATAAAACATCAACAGACGAAAGACAAAAAGCAAATCCTTAAGATATTGCACAGAAACATAAAGCTTGAGGAACAGTATTCAATAAAAACTTCGGATGAGCTCAAGTGCTGCAAAAGTTTCAGAAGTTCTGAATAGTTTATGAAATGTCAATTATTGTTGACCATAAATTTTACTATTATAAAAAGTAATAACAGAAAATGTCGTAGATTTATCGGGAAAAGTCCAGACATATTCTCCCAATTTTCATATTGATTAAGTTTTAAATATTCAAACAATATTTATTGCTGTAAACAATGCACAAACAACCAACATGGATTTGTGTTTTTGAAAAAAGTACAATTCACTACATAATCTGGAAAATTCTTTTGTACAACATTTTGAGATCTTCCCGAAAGGAATTGTTCATGAAAGCGTATATAACTGGATTGGCTACATTATAAATGAAGTACATATAAAAGACTACCATATTGTATGTCATTAGGTCATGTGCCATCAACCAGGCTGGCAAGAAAGCAAACAGAAATACAATAGTCACAATAAACAACATGGCGGCTGTACGAATGTTTGCATACAGTACTTTTTCTTTTATTCCGATTGTCTTCTTTCGGAACTTTCTTTGTTCTGGTTCATTGGAGTCATTGTCATTCCCGTTTAAAATTGTTAGCTGAGTGTCGGCGCCGGAATATTCTGTTGGGGATGACGGAAATAAACTTGCCCGTTTACGCCTAGCTTTTTGTGCACGCCGGATATGAATAGATCGATATATAAGTCCATATAGTACAAACACAACAAGAAAAGATAGTAAATAAAATCCAGCGTATATTTTCTGGTAAATATTTGTGAAAGAGATGTCAAATATGTCGTTGCTAGGAAAACACATTCCAGCCAACTCGTTTGATGCGGTATTGTTACCGGGCGCCATTTTGACAGCGTTAGTGATAGAATAATTTACAGTCGCAGTTATTTCCAATGAAGCATTTGATACTCCATTTACAGTTGAATTAACGTCTGTAGAATCTATAAAAGGCACAATACCATAACACATTGATGTAATTATCCCAAGTAAGCAGGCGAAGAGTCCCATCGTCAAAACAATTATTTTCGCCCGTGGAATTGTAATAGCATGCAAAAACGGATGACAAATACAGAAAAATCTGTCAAACGCAATCGCAACCATGATGAATGCAGAGAATGGAACATTGCACGTGATTAAGAACATATATACTTTACAGGCTAATTCATACTGTAATCTGTAGTTCAAATGAAGGACGATTATATTGTACGGGATAATTATCATGCTAGTCAAGAAGTCTGTTCCCGCCAAAGTAAGAATGAATAAAGATGAAGTTGTGATGTCACGTTTTCTGGAATAAATGTACAACACCAACGCATTTCCAATACTTCCAGCAATACTGAAAATACCTAACATACCCAGCACAACACTCAATTGTATATTATCCGACATGGTTTCGTTCTATTTGATATGTTGAGTCTTGAAACTATAATCTACATACTACTTTGTTGGTATCTGGTGGTTTTATTCAATCTGAAAAAAGAGATAATTTGTTATACAGTGAATTTATCAGTAAGACGACAACAACAAAAACCCAAAACTACATAGTTAGGCATTAAAATAGACACGGGTATTTATTGTATTGTTTTCTTCTTTTTTTCCCCTTCACTTTGAGTAATCTTACTCATTCTATACAGTCATAGTTTCTGTAGTTTGTAAATTTTGAACCAGAAAAATGTGAATTCGGTGTAATATTTTGTTTTATTAAATTATTTATTTAGTATGATGTTGTTACAGACTTTTTGAGGGTTCGTATAAAAATAAAAAGATGTGGTATAATTGCCAATGAGACAACTCTCCACAAGAGACCAAATGACAAAGAAATTAACAACTATTGTGTTTGTTTTATTTTCAAGTGATACTATGTTGAATATACCTAAAACAGTTCTGTATCTTCAAAATACTAAAATCCAAATACGTATACATAACAATATTATATATGCATTGTTTCAAATAAAACCACTAGAAAAATACCTTCCTTTAATGCACAGTATATTAACTTAATGAATAGTATCAAAAAGGACTCTGTACATTACTTTGCGTTCAATATAACTTTTCTGCAAGCGGACAGTTTAGCGGTTGTCAATTTACAATCGTCGAGTTAAATCTGATACCCGTATGTACCATTCATTTTAACAAACGCTATAAAGTTATTCGAGTCCACGTTGCCAACGACTTCTATAAGATTTGAAGCCTTCAGTTGTAGAGATAATAGTGAACATAAAAAATAAGAAGATGTGACAAGAGACCAAATGACACAGAAAAAACAACTATAGGTCACCGTACGGCCTTCAACAATGAGCATAGTTTGATTTTCTTTTTAGTTCCTTTCACATGTATGGTAGACGTAAGCTTCCTAGACTATTTATTGCTGACCAAACTGTATTAAAACAAAGCTACCAAACTTTTAATAGAATTATTCAGAAAAAAATAAAGTCAAATACAATGTAAACTGCATTAAAGTTAGCATTAGACTTTCGCTGAGTAAAGGAATATTTACTTAATCTCCACTGGCAAGGTATTTTGTCATTAAAACACTAATGCAGTCATTCTTATCACTTAAGATAACTTAATCATATTCATATATGCGTTGCAAGACTTTTTATGAAAACAAAGCTATGTGCATAGTTCTATGGAATGGCATTGGTTTTATCTCATGTATTATGTTACAATAATATTTACAAAACAAAGGTTTCTTCCCTTAATACTTTGCGTCGGTTGTGGGTTAATCTGTTGTTGAATACTTTCTTTTATCGTAATGTTAGAAAAGGTTTTGGCATTTCAAGACTGCAGCTTTTACGTTTTTACAAAAATAAAAAAACAAATGCTTACTTTTACATTTTCATACGTATTATCCCCAATAATAAAAACATTACATATTTGACTACCTATTTATGTGACGTTGGATTAAGCACCGGCAGGCAATCTGGCAATCCATTGAAAAGCTTAAGAAAAAGCAATCTGAATTCCTTCCGCTATTTATAATAAATTCACCAAGTGAAGATAATGTTAAAAGGTTAATGAATGGACAGAAGAGGAAATATATTGGAAACGCTAGACAATTATGATACTTTTCCACAGTTATATTACTTGAACTTCTTATAACCATTCTTGATTATTTATTCTATTGATACGTCTAGTCAAATACGCATAGTTATTACGGTATGTACACCGGAGAATAGCTTTCTAATTTCTCTTTATTATTAAGTAACACATCTTAAGATGGAGAAAATTGGATGCTAACTATATGCATACAATTTAACTCGCCAATACTTCGTATTTGTAGAATTGTTCGATCATGTTGGAAAATGGTAAAACAAAATTGATACAAGAGTCGCATATTTCAAATCTTGTCAATTCAAAAGTTATATTTTAAAGTCAAAACTTTGTACTCCTTACATGTAATGTATTTATTTTATGATTAATTTCACTGTTTTATAAGATTCATAAGGTACGGGGATACACTCATAAATTAAAGATCTCAGGCTTATGATTACGTACGCAAGACGCGCGTTGCGTCTACAAAAGACTCGATCACCAGTGTTGCTCGAATATAATTAAAATAAAAAGGCCAAACAAATTATGAAGTTAAAGAACATTAAGGATAATTAGAATTTAATGAAATTTTGAACCTTAAAAGTTGCATTATTTACTTTATTTATCCATTTAAATGGAATTATATTATCATAATTTCATTACACATCGATGACTTTAAAGAGGATCAGACATGCACACGAATGACCACTTAACTATTGTTTTTAATTCAAAAGCCATGTTACCCCATTTCATGTATCTAAATATTAATATGTAAACACGTAGAATTGGTGAAAGCATGCCACATTTTCTTATGTTTGTACAAATGCATGCTGTAAGCATATTTTCTGTACAATATGTTTAAGATTTTCAAGGACAAACTACCCATCAATATTAGCACATTATACAAATTAAGGATAAATATTCCACCAAAAGCGAAGAAAATGTCACATATTTTATTACATCATTCTATAGCTATTTGATTTGATTTTAATAGTCCACGCTCGTAATCTTCTTAAAAATAAATATTCTGTCAAACAGTATATTGACCTCGCACCATGACATCGGTATAAAAATGAACAAACAATGATGGTTAGCGTGTGACAGGTTTATGGAGGATTTATGAAAATAAGTAAAGTTTTTGAAACATAAGAGACTGACCTCGATTGTTGACAAAGGCATAGTTAGTACAAAATAATGATCTTGACTTGTGAATGCAATCATTTATTATATAAAAAAAATCCAGTAAAACATTATTTTCTTTCAAGGAACAAAGTTTTAACCTTTAACCCTTAGGATGGAATTCATTTGATCACACTTTATATTCTTTTGAATTTTACTTATCAGGGTTTGTAATCTGACATCATTGATGTAAGTATATAATATGGTCATTGAAAGCAGTGCACCTATATAATAGTTTCTGCAAGAGTTGTAGCACTAGATAAGTAAAGAGAATGACAAGATAGATTTTTTTTATTAATCATATCAGAAGTCCATTGCTCAAGTAATGGACTTCTGGTCATATTCGATGCAAGGCACTTTGATGTAATTTTAATGACATATTATTTTGATAATATATAAATTATAAAAAATCAGAGTCATGCATATTAATAAAGAAAAAAGAAAAACTACATATCCGAAAATTGAATCATAATGATTAATGTACATGTATGTACACCAGAGTCTTTTTATTACTGTCAATAAAGATTCCCCAGACGGTATTAATTGCATTCACTTTTATATCATAATGATTTTCATTGTACTTCAAACGATTGACATGTAAACAGTTGACATTTAAATTTAGACATCTGATACGTATCTGATCAAACAACTTGATACGGCAAATTAGTTGTAAACAGAGATGCTGATTGTACGTGTCATATTTTGTGTGACATCAGGCGGGTCAATTATTTTCTCATTTCGCACCGTAACATGACTGGCGTTTCTTTTAAGTTTGCTTTTATCTGTACCAATACACAATATTAAGTAAATAAGGATGAAAATGAGGTATGATTGCCAATGAGACAACTATCTTTCAGGGTTCAAATAAAGTAGATTTAAGCAACCTTAGGTCACTGGACGGCTTTCAACAAAGAGCAAAACTTAATTTGTTTGGTGCTCCATAGATATGAGTTGTGTCGAACTAAATGAATCTTTAAATAAATAAAGACCTATTTGAATTTTATTTTTCAGTCCCAAATATGGTTGCTTTCGTTAACGAAATATTTAATTATTTCTTTGCCTATTGATTACATGTACCTACAAAATGTTTGTCTCGTCACACTTTATAAAAGACTTCATAGTTCTTAAGGAAAAAGGTATGATTTATTAAATGTTGGTGTTAAAGCCTACTTTAAACACTTTTGGCTATACCATGGCGGTCAGTTGTTATAAGAAGAGGAATCAGGAATCCCCCGAGAGAACCATTGATCTTCGTCTGGAAAAATGACAATTCTCGTCAAATAAGATCAAAGTCGAATGCACCAAGATTAGAACCAACAACCTCATTGTTGACAGGCTAGTGATTATCGTAGATGAACTACTAACACCATTTCACCATTTAATAAATTCTGAAGGGATTGTTTTATCTTCATAAAATGGCTGCACCCATGCTGCTCAATCGATTATAACATATTTATTGACGATATAGTTAAAGACCATTGGACTATTTTTAAAGTATATTTCATCAATGTTATTTTCACTATGAAATTCCATAAACTCTACAGTTCATAACTGCTGATAACTATTTTAAATTGCTAAATCTCGATTATTTCCTTGTATAAAGCGATAAAACATCAAATTAGTAAGATCTATTTCACGCTGACGTCTGATGTTGTTAAATAAGTTGTGTTATATGAGCATGAAAAGGAAGAGATAATATTCATTTTCTTTGCATCAAAGCTTATCTAACGAAATTGTCCATTAACGGATTATTACCTGTTCACTTTAATCTAAATATACAATGAAAGAGTTAATTCTACGAAAAAGATGGATTTTAACCTGTGTTTGGGAAATTTGTTGTTGCCAAAATTATCGTCTTTTTTAAAGCTATACTCTTGTGCAGATATCGTTACATGTAGCTGGAGATAGGTTTTCCTTTCCAAGAATATCTAAAGCTATAATAATAATAATAATAATAATAATAATATCTTTATTTAGAGAGAGTACATGACGATAATGTAACTCATTTGGATTACACCAATTTTCAATAAGGCTCTCTTAATACAATTATAATAATTACATTAAAAAATAAACAATACATATTCAATAATAATGATCAATAAAGATGTAATACAATTTAAATACAATAAACAATTATTATATATGGCATTACAGTACAAATATCATAGTAATGTTAAAAGTACATAGATTTGTAGTTATGTTTAAATTCTAATACTGTGTTTGATTTTTTGTGTTTGCGTATGAGTTATTAGCTGTAT